CCCCCCCCCCCCCCTCTCTCTCGCTCTCTTCCGCCCTCTGCCATCCATCCCGCCACCTAGTCCCCCTTCGGCACACATCTCTCCTCAGCCCGCCGCCTCACCTCTCCCTCTTCTACAGAGATGATGGCCGTGTGGAGAGGAAACGTCTTCTCCTCCTGCCGTAACCGGAACGCCTTCTGGAACGAGTACTTCCCCATGCTCTCCACGTGCACCCCGACCTCGGTTCCAAACGTTGTAAGGATGGGGTCGTCCTCGATCACTCTCGAGGCGTTCCATGCTGCCGACAGCAACAAACCACAGCAGAGGGTCCCGCCGGTGGCGCGGCAAGAGGACACAAAAGGGTACTTGCATATCTGGTACACAAAAAAAACACGGCGAAACTTTTCGTGCACAAAGGTGAGCAGGTGGGTGGTGGCCTCTCCTCCCGAGACAAGAGCGGCCGCCTGGGAACGGGCGCGGAACCAAGACCTACGATGTAGCGCGCAGCGATGGTTTGACCAGCGCGTGACTGTGAAAGGCAAGGCGAAAGGGCTCCCAAGGTTGTTGTTCGATACTCGTGCAAACACGGAAGAAGGGCTCCGAGGTTGTCGAAAGGTGCTCGTGCCCACAGCACTGCACTTCGAGGACCGATCCGCTCTAGTGGCAAGTCTACCGCCGACGCATGTCCAACCACAGGAAGAAACAAATACCGTTGGTCCAAGGCTTGACTGCACTGCTACCGACAACAATCCAGGCGGCACAACACCACGCGGGATCGGTCGCCTGGAGGGCTGTGCCAGAAAACTATAAACACACGACACCGACCACGCACACTTACGCGCGGGCGCACGAAACGAGCACAGCGTACCGCTCGACTACTCTTACTACTCACATCCCTTGACGCTGAAACGGCTGAACTCGTCCGCGTCGGGCAGGATGAGGACCTGCGAGTAGAACGTCTGGTCCGCGTCCACCTCCCAGCCCAGGCCGTTCACCACCAGGCACACCGACGTCTCTTTGCCGATCGTCACTTCCTTCTTTCCGGAGGAGAGGACGCACACATCTGTCGCACAAAAAACATTGTTGGGGCGGCGGGGGGGAGGGGGCGGGTAAACGCATGCCATAGACCGTAGGCCTCGCATGCCGGGACGGACCGATATGCCGGGTTTTCGCCGGCCCAGGCTACTCATCACAAGGACGAACCAGAAGCTGGCCATCATCCTCGGGGGGGGGGAGAGCATTCATCATCAGCGGAGCCGCCAAACAGAGGCAAGCCGCGATCTTGCGATGTTGGAGCTGCAGTAGTCCTTTTTGTGGAATGGAAGCACGCAAGGTTCTTCCCATCTTGGCTGTTTCCGGTAGTCATCCCACCCCCCCTTGTCACAAAGCCGAACAGGGTGCAGGATTTCTCGCCTTAGTCACTATCATGTTTGTTGCGGATCTTCGTGCCACTCGGGAAAACACTCAACACATGATGGCATGTGAATAAAGGCTATCGATTTTATCGCGGCGCCACTTTCCATTTCGAAACATCCCTGCTGCCCCGCTGCCCGCACCATTGTCTGGTGAATGAACGTAACATCGCAGCAGTAAACTTATTACGCATCCCAACGATCAGGAAGCCTGGCCCTACAACGACACACCAGAATTGCAATACGCCGTGTTCGACGAGAAACAGCGATATGGTAGTCGCCCTTTCATTGCCAAATTTACCAAGGAACGGAATAGGGCGAAGGAAGGTCGTCGGTAGAACGGTATGTTATGGCTTCATAGCCTCTCCCCAGAACCCCAAACTAAGAGCCGTCGGTGGGCATCTATTAGGGTCACCTCGTGTAAACCGTGTTTTTACGCGTCGGTGCTTTGCTTCTTATTTTCAAATGATGTGCTATTCTTGTGCAGCTTCATAAAAAGTGACTGGGTCATTTGCCTCAACCCCCCAGATCAAAGCTGGGACAACCACCTCATGCTCCTCGGGGTAAGGGCCCAACCACAATCGACATGGGCAGCTAGTGTGAAGAGCAACAGTGCAGCGGCGGCCGAATGCGGCTGAATGAACCAGACCATGATCTGTTGCGACAACGCATCTACAAAATATCGTCGACGCCAAGCTGATGCCGGCATCCGAAGCAAGTTGGTACATCTCGAAGGACACAACCGGTCTGACCCTTTGGCGTGTTGCAGTCGGTACTCGTACACTCCACAGTAATAGCCTAGTCTTGGCGTGCGGCTTACAGTATTTGATCGAAATTAACGTCCTGCGGCGTTACAGCCGATCCTTCGAAAACAACCCGCATGCATGCTATTGCGCGTGCCAGAGCTAAATGTCCATGTGCTGCAATCAGCGTCTTCCTCGACATCGCATCAATCGCGAAAACTGACTCTGACCGTGAGACGTACTGTAAAAATGTGAGCGAGCCCGCTCTCGAAGTATTATGTCATCGGCTCCCGCGACAGATCAGGGCCAACCGCAGGCGAGAGATTGAACAATATAATGTCCAAACTCCGGATCGAGAGCACTTTCAAGAGAAGACAATGCCACTACTGCTGTCTACCCTGCTGTTGATTTCTTTGCGTGCGTGTCCGGGGGGGGGGGGGTACTCGGNAACACAACGTGGTGCGATCATCCCCCTTGCGCGGAGTGAGGGTTCTCGACCCCGCACAACATGATCTACTCATCCACCATGG